AACTTACTAAACACCAAGCGTTGTTCCAGGAACTTCATATGGAGTATCTTTTAGTCCCCAACGACGTGATCATCAAAAGACAGGAAAGAGCTGGCAGAGCGTATGTAGTAAGCAAAGGATGGCGTGCAGCAAAGCCCAAGGGGTGAGGAACTGAACGCACCTGACAGGCCGCAGCGAGGTCAGAGCCCCGCTCGCCCCGCTCAGGTGTGGACGCCACCCACGGTGACGCAGCGTCCACAGGTACTTTCCCTCTTGCGTAGCGCTACGCCTCGGCGTGGACTTGGTAACGACGCCAGCTAGCGGGAGTCTCAGAGAATACAGGTACTCCCCCTTACATTCTGGGACAAACCACCACCAGCCATTTCTCCCCGTCTGTTTTCTTTGCATCCTCAACAGTAAGCCTGCGGATGACACACGCTCTTCCGAGTAGGCCCTTTTTGGGAGGAGCTTCAGGCTAGGTGAAAGTAGAGTTCCCGTGGATGCCTTCACCACGTGCCCGCCCTCGCTTCCGCTTTCCCTGGCATCCTGCGCTGGTGGCACCCTGGGCGCGGCCGACACCGACCATCGCCAACTCAAGTTCAGGGTTTGCCTTGGAGCCACTCCACAGGGTCTGCCGACGTGCGACGACTTGTTTTCACCCTCACCCTGTCCCAACGGGCACTTTCGCAGGCCTGAATGCCTCCTGTGTGGCCCCTTACTCACCCCCCTTCCGCCCCAGAACTGGTCTCCATAAATGACTCCTTGCAGAAAGTCAAAGTCGGAATCATACGCTATTCGGCCTCTTTGACTAGTCGGTCTAGCCTACTTAGATTCGTGTTCTTATGGCCCTCTGCGCCTTTCTGGGGCCAGACAGCACATTTCTTTCATCACTGAATGATACTCCATTTTGCCCGTTCATCTACTGAAAGACACCTTTGACAAGGTGTTCTGAAGTTCTGTTTTGGGGAAGTGCAGTTCATCTAGCCTTTTATGGATTGTGCTTTGGCATCATGTGAAAAGTAACTCAGATTTTCTTTTGGTCTTACGGTTCCCAACGAATTTTAAAATCAGAGCTGTCAATTTTTACCCAAAAACTTCTTGGGATTTTGATCAGAACGGCACTGTGTCTACAGGTGAATTTAGAAACTGGTATGTTAACACCACTAAACCTCCCAACCCACGAATATGGCACAGACCTCCATTTAATTTCTCTCAGCAACATTTTTTTTAATGCCGAGTTTTGTGCATCTTGTCTTGTGGTTAAAAAAATTACATTTGGCATGCTGGCAGCAAGCAGACCATCAGTCAGGAGCCAGTCGCGCACACACGCCCTCCCTCCATCAGCCGGGACCAGGGCGCCGACGCTGGCCATGCTGCGGCCTCAGAGCTTCTTCCAGCCCGCGCGATCGGGCGCCGGCTCGCTGCCTCACAGCCAGGGCGCACGTGGCCGAGTCTCCGCGGCCCGCAGAGGCTTGCTTCTCTGGGAGCCCCTCCAGGTGCCGGGCTGCCTCTGGAGTCCGCTCTCGGCCTGTGAGGGGCGACGCGCACGGTCCTTTCCGTGTGGCTGTGCAGGGCCCAGCGCAGCGCAATTGGCCTTCGAAGCTTTTGCTGTGGCTTCGCACTGGGGGCACAGAGCTTCCCGGTTTACTTTCAGGGCCTTTGTGAAAAAGCACTTCTAAACACTCATCCCAATTTTACTGTTTGCTCCTGAAATTTCCTTGTAATTTCACTTTTGATACTTGTTACTCTACATAAACAACGTGGGGTTTTTGTACATTAGCCGTATATTCGGCAACTAGTCCCGGGAGCCGGTTTTTGTAGCATCCACTTGGTTTCTCACGAAGAACAAAGATTCTCACATCAGATGTTTGTCTGTAGCAGACATCTGGCATCACCTGTATTTCTTCACTGCAGGCATCCAGGGGCAGACGCAGCACGCCTCAGGCCCAGAGGGCAGCACCGGACTCACTGAGCCAACGGCAGCACAGATGACGCCGCTCGGCAGTGCTCTCACTTCCCACCTCTCACCGTGCTCAGCGCGCACACTCGTTTCAGAACCCAGAAGATGCTCCACCTTGGGGACCCTTTATGCACTTGCAGGTGCGCGCTCTGCTGTCACTGCGCAGTGTGTTCCGTCAGTCCACTGGGTCCAGCTGGCTGACAGGAGCTTTCAAATGTTACATTTCTTTGGTGTTTTCTCTGGACTTTCTTATCACTTACTGGGAAAGAAGTCCTGAGCTGTGACTGCGGATCTGTCTCTCTCCTTGCAGTGTCAGTAGTCTGTAGCTTTCTGACTAGGTGCAGAGCTGTTTAGGGCTCTTAAGGCTTTGCACGACAGGGTCCTGGCACTGAACGACGAAGTGAGCCCCTTGGTTTCTGGTAGCATTGTTTGCAAAGAAGTCTACTACAGGGGAACAGATTTGGGACAGAATCAGTTCAGACACGCATGGACGAGGTGAGAAATCCAAGACCACCAGGGTGGTGTGGAGACAGGCTGGGTGGTCGGCAGACCGGCGTCTCCACAGCATGGACCGCGTGCGAGCAGAGGGGCTCTAAGACACTTCCTGAGCGAACGATCTTGGTAGACTGACCCCAAAGTAGCGCATCCGCTAGCAAACTCCTTTTGCTGCTCCTGGGTCCCGCCGGCCGCCCTCAGGCGCCCGCGCGCGCGCTGCCAGAGCGCCGGGCCCGGGATTCCCCGACGGCGGGTCGGAATCATACGCTATTCGGCCTCTTTGACTAGTCGGTCTAGCCTACTTAGATTCGTGTTCTTATGGCCCTCTG